TTACGAGATCAAACGGTTCTCCTTTAATAGGCATAGAACGTAAAACTTGTGCGGTTTGATCGCCTAACGCTGAAAACTCAATGTCCGAATAGACATACATTGTTGTGTTGTTATGTTGCATGTTGGCAGATTTATTGGACGCTACCACCATTGGTACGTCCAACGTATCAGCTTTCAGCGGTTGTTTTCTTTTAAGTAGGTACTATAGATAAGGTCGAGGAGTAATAAAAGTACTAGGAATTCTTCCGAATGGTTCAGCTGGCGTCCCATCTTCTTCTATCATTTCCTCAATATAGTAACGAAATTTTGAAGGAACACCGTCAAGATCTTTAAAGTCTAAAGGGTCTATATCGTGCTGAGTCTGCACAAAACCAAGTAACCCTTTCAATCGGTCATCGTTTTCCGAAAAACGCAGCTTGCCACGCAAGCTATTGAACGTTACTTCCGTCTTGAGCGTTACAGGATTATAACGTATATTGAACACCTTTGTGGTACTGTTATTTGTGCGAAGGCGTGAGGGAGTAACATTGCGACCTTTTAAGTCTACCGAGTTTGGCGACTGTCGCTCAATTCGGTCAATTAGCGCCTTCAATGTATATATAGACCCGGTGGAATGATGATCGTATTCTGAACCGATCACAGGGAGGTGTCACTGATGACATCGTACTCGTTATCAGTTAGTTCTTGCTCTTTTGGTATGTTGTAGATTGAGTTTGTATATTGCAATTCCACCAAACCTACTTCCCACCGGCCCGATAAAGATCTTGGAATTTTGAGTTTTGTCTTCCACACTTGCGCACTGTTCTTGGGATACATGTCCATTGACGCATTGCTTGGTAATGTTACGTAAAACGGTGTACTGTTTCCAATAACACTAGCCATTTCCGTCAGCTACTTTTGATAGCTCTTGCTCCTAAAACTTTCCAATTACACTGGGTCCACCGTCGGCAGGTTCCACTTCATACACAGGTACGCGATGCTTGATTACCTTGTTCACTCGATATAGCTTTTTTGTGTACTTCACATCAGCGCCTTTTTTAAAAAGCTGCTTTTGCAAACGAAGACGCACTGTGTCTCCGTCCTTAAATAGCGGTACCTTGGCTTTGCTTTTGTTTTTATCGTTGGACTGTAATCGGTGAAACACCAAAAGCGAATTTTCTCGATTGACGTCATTCGGCGCCAATCCATGCGCCGTGTGAGGTGTGCTGTTGTAGCTGTCAATAATGTCCTGTAACTTGTCATAATATTTTACACTCCCATCACGAGCGGTTATCAGTCGCATGAGACGCTCTCGTAACGTTCGGATGAATCGTTCTGCCATGTTAGCCTTAATTCCACAGTTCTCTTCAGAAAACATAACGACGCCGTTCTGTTTCATGTAGTTTTGAACTGGTTTGCTGTAAAATTCACGCCCTGTGAACGAATAATACAGTTAGTTTGCGACGCTTACGACGGTTCCATCCTGTGTGTGTGTGTGTGTGTGTGTGTGTGTGTGTGGGTGTGTGTGTGTGTGTGTGCCACGAGCCGCACTCACGTACTCCGCTTCTCCCATCTTTAGTTAGGTCAACCTGGACACTGACGTCAACTTTGTTTTTGTTTTGACCAAAGCTATTGTCTTTACTGACGTTTGAGTCTTCCGAATCTTTATCTCCAGCACAGCATGACGAATTAAAGGTCAGCTTCATGCCCTCTCCAAAGTTCAGACTGACTGGTATGCACCCCGCCATGCCTGATATTCTTAAATAACTAACCACTTTAAGCGCTTATGTTGCTGAAGTTTTCTTTTTCTAAAGCCCAGCTGTGGATCAGCATATTTATTTTCAACTGCGTAATAATCTACCCGATCTCGATTTCCTAAATTATGTATTATGTTTAACGTTGTTCGAAGTCGTTTTCTTGATTTTGGATGGCCGATTTTGCTTGGCGTGATCATGTCCTCATACACTTTCCGTTTTCCTTGTGACCTAGAAACGGAACTTGCAGGCGTTGCGTACTGGCTGTTTTCACCGCTTAACGGCTGATATACACGATATGCACATGGTAGGCTATACCGATGCGTACGTTACCGACTTCGAAATAGTTAATGTAGTAGCGTCTTGGGATGTGTATAGACCATTGAAACTAAATGACGTCTTTAAAAAGCTGCACTGCTACCGGCCTTGTTATGAACCTGAACTGTTTCCTGGTCTAAGCGTCCATCTACCCGAAGCAACTTGTGTAATTTTTACCTCTGGTAAAGTTAATATTTTGGGTGCAAAGTCGGAATTGGCTGTGCGTACTACGGCACCCGAACTTCGCTTGCTACTGTTTTAATTTTCACATGGATCTTTATCAAAGTTAAATTTGTTTGTTTTTTTTTGATTAAGTCTTCTCCGCTTTAATAGACCACTGCTCTGCCATAAACTAATAAACATACGAAAAAACGATATTCTGTTTTTTTTAAACAAAAACGTCAGTTTTAACATCAGTTTTCTTGCGGCGGGCGATCTGGTCAGCAGGAAGTTCAACTATGCCAGTCGTGCTCAGCTTGTGGGTCATCATGCGGCTCCCAGTTTTCCAAATCTAGTCCACAATGAATACACTTCAGTAGGTCCCGCAATCCCGTGTAAAAGAAGCCGGCTCTCGCAAAACGCGCCGCTGACGCGGTACGCAGTGTCCAGTTCCGGTGTTGAAACGAGTGCAGACGGTATACGAACCGTCTGAATTCATGTTGCAGCCGATAGCCTGCTGCAGCACGCCCAGGGGTCGCTGTGTCTGTTCTTCTGGGAGGCGCTCCCGGGGGATCCAACCAAACCAACGTGTATCCACTCAAAGCACCCAATGGAAGACGATATGGCCAATCCGCAGCAGGCGCTGATGTCGACGTAGTTCCTGATTCCGGCCGTAGCGGTGGTTGTGGCGGAGTTGGCGTGGCTGGTGACGCTCCGGTTCCAGCGGTTGGTACTGAAACTGAGTCCGGTACTTGCGGTGGAACAGACCTTGTTGAGCTTACTGGAGAATCTTGCAATTCGCCTGGCTGCAATTTACTGGAGAACAGACCGCAAGGGCATATGATGATACAGATCCCGCAGGACTCGACGGGTTAAAGTTGTTAGAACCGGGTTTTTCCCAAGGTGGGAAGGAAGTGAGAAAAGTTGATATGATAAGGGCATTATCCGATCGCGAAAAGTTTTTTAGTTTTGTGTTGCTTAAGCGCAACGAGATCAAAAGAAGTTGGAGAAGTCAGGTCGAGGTCCCGGGGATTCCGATCCCGGAGACCCAAGAACCCGCCACCGAAGTCGCGGGGATTTAGAACGTGAATGAAGTTGAGGTCCCGGGGATTACGATATCCGTGACCAAAGAAATCGTTACTGAGGTTTCGGGGATTCACGAACCCTACAATAAGGTTCCTAGCGCGCAAACGTTCGAGCATTCAGGATTCTGTTTCTGCCCGTTCAAACAGATTCAGGACATGTTACGAAAGGGTGTGATCAATCCATGTGAAATTTCGGAACGTTGTGCCAATGCGATACTGGCACGGAAGAGAGATGAGTCCTTAAGGTTTTGCGTGTCGTATTAATTGTTGAATGGTAACGAACATACCATGCACACGGTAATGGTTCAACCGTTTGACCAGCATCAAAAATGAGAGTTGATTAAAAAATTCAATAATCTGCGTTACGAGACCAGGTGAAGCCTTGTTCGGAATATCGTCTTAAATCCTTTCTTTAAAGCGAAAAATGGCATGCAGTCGCGTCAGTGTTTCGATCTTCAGGTTTGTTGTGGGTTAGGGAATCCAGAAGTTGATGTTAAACGGAACAAGAAGTTTAGTGCACCAACTTGGCTCGTGACTCAAGCACCGTGTCCAACAGTGCAGCCATGTGCAACTGCCGGCAGCTGTAACAGAAACGGAGATTTTTAAAAAATATACCGAGTGAACTGCTACGAAAGCATTCTAAAAACAGAATTTCCGTACCAAGGACACCAAGTCTAGGAACTTCGTGTTACACTGAATCATCAATGATGCCCTTCTGGCCAACCAGTGCTCTCGAAAATGTTGCAGTTCATATATGGATCTGTTTCGTTCAAGATTGCTGGTCTCGGAGATGGAGGAAAACCTCCTCGGAATTAGGCATTGATCTTTTGCTGCGGAAGACATCAACATAATTTGGACACCAGTAAATTTCTCCGTTTTTTCTGACCTTCGATTTTTAGAAACGAGAATCATCGGCCAAATCCGACCATTTTATGCTTCGAACATGATGTCCAGGCGCAGTTCACGTACCGACTGTATTTACAAAGCGTGTCCGACGACTAACCATGACGTTTCCACTAAAGCTTCAGGGCACAGATTACGTATGTTTCCTCGAAAGTGCTGGTAAGGAATTCGCGCGAAATTACAAGCGTTCGGCCGTAAATCGCGTTGGAAATGCAAATTTCGAACGTCAACCGTCTTTTGACAGAAGCGTTCGATGCGCATCATTTCCCACACCGGTGCCCCGGCATCCCGACCAAAGTGTGCGACTGTTAACCCTGTCTTGACCAAATTGCCCGGACAAAAATCGTACCCCGAACCCATATTTCATTACTGAAAAATTGCGCTCTGTCTGGTTATCTGCCCGTGAATTGTGCTTGGATTAAGCACATGGCATTAATTCCGTTTGCTTTCCTCAAAATGTTTTAGCGCGCTTTCAGCGGCCTTCTAAGGGCGCGTTACACCAGTTTAAAAACGCTTCCGCTGGTGTCGTCGCATTTTCACAACGGTAAGCTGTTCAGTCTTACTATGCGTTCCGCTAATAAACATCCTCTTGAAACCATTTTTGCGGTTAATCAATAGCATTTCTTCATGAAAAACATTCCAACAGACCATCGAACACCCCCACTTGGGGTTAATACGATAAATTTCGCTAGATGCATGACAGCTACAACTGTCATAAATGCATTTCAGAAAAACAAAAAGCTGCACCGACAGGTGCTCTTTTAGTTGTAATCCCCAGCCTGCGGGTAGTGCGCGTAAGCGTCTAGGGCAAGCCCATTTTGCTGAGAAGATCAGGGCGGAACCAGCACTCAACCCGGGCCACCTGCGGCTTGGCCTTCTCCCTAATAAACACGTGCAATGTGATAGAGCAGAAAGTATTTGAAACTCCGGCCACAGACGCAATGAAGGTTGTTTCCATATCCCACTTACCAAGACCGGGCACGGTGGTGCCACTGCTGTTAAAACCAGGATATGACGCCGAAACGTTTTGCCCATCAAGCTGCCAAAAGAAATACAGTGCTGGATCCGTCCAGCTGCAGTCCATCCGTCCGCTGCAAGTCATAGAAAAGGTTCTGTTTATTGAGGACACATTGTAAAGGGGTGTGATAAAAGCGTCGCTTGTGCTAAGCAGCTCCGGCCGCAAGATGTATGTATTAATGTAAAACATTATGTCGCCATTGCTCCTACAAGACTCCAAACAATCTACCGTCCTGCCATCTACCGAGTCGCGGTTGACATCGTGCAAAGATAGCGTGCTGCTGGTGTTAATCGACATGTGGGTTTAATAATGCCCCTTTACAGAGTAGATCGCAGCGCCCTCGCGTATCGTGTTGTCTTGGTGCCGCCATATAATTTGCTTCTCCTTCGTCGAAGGGGCGATAGAGCAATTATATGAAACTATGCTCCCCAGCTGAACAGGACGGGCGGCGACTGCCGTCTGGGCCGTGCAAGCCCAGTGTCTTCGGAGCGCACCGGGTCGGCCAAGGTGCTTCCGTTGCCCATCATGACGTTTGCGGCCATCTTTGCCTCCGGGCCTGCAATATTAGTAGTTAGGCTGAATGTGACCGACACCCGGTCAACAACTGGCGGCTACATGATTAAGGCCTCAACGGGGCACGAGGCATACCGCCAAATTTCAGGCAGGCATACCGCCGCTGTCAGAATATCAGGTGGACTGATTTTGCCTTCCCATTGATACAGTAGTGAATAATGGCATCTCTTCTCGTGCACTTGCTCGTATTTGTAAGAGGATACAACCTCCCGGTGTTCTTTCTGTTGAGAGATTTTATTTCATAGCTCAGAAGCTCAAAGTTGGTGGCCTTGATTATTTGCTTTTACTTTGGCTAAAACTTGACGCACGCGCGCCGTCAACGAAAATATATATTATATTAACTCCAAAAAGTAAGTCCGCGAAACAGGGTGATCACGATTTGACTATCATTTATCACATGGATGGCGCCAAAAAAGAGAATTATCTACGGCAAAGGCGCGCACTGTACACTTTTAGATTGCAGAACTTCCGACCGCAGGAACGGCACGGCCATCGGCACGGCCATGTTCTTCTCTCCTGATTTATAAAGCGCTATGTTAAACATTTGTTATAACTTATAGCGTTAATCCGAAGTTACCACATGGATAGCGTGCCGTTTCCGACTTATTTTGCCTGGACTCTGCTATATTTTTTTCAGCATTATCTGACATCATACATTCTCTTCCAGAAGATCTGACGAATGAAGACCAGATCAGACGTTTAAAGCGGCGACCTCAGTCAGTCGTTATGAGGTTGATAGCCTCACACCGGTGGCCTTTGTAGTATGCGTGAAAATTTGAATTCATTTTAGGTTGAATAATTAAGCGTCGATAATTCCGCTGATTCGCTACTGTGTGATTGTTTCTAGTGGGTGCAAATCGGTTTATGTTGTAGTATGCTGAAATATTAATGCGTTCACATGTATGGGTCATCGGTCTACCAATGCTTGTTTTTTTCCCGCTTGGTACTGACCATATGGGACTTATCTATTGTGAAATTATTAAAATAGTGCTGGCTGAGGAAACCTTTAACGTAGATGCAAGCGCTGAAGCCTGCAACATTACCGCGTTCTCGTGTTGTATGCTCCTGAAAATGAAACAGTCCCTTGTGTAACGACATTTACACATTCGCGTGATCTGTAACCAATGCGTGTGGGCGCTGTTAGTGTAAACGAGTAATCTAGGTGAGACCCATCCCAAAGGTGAGGTTAGATCATTGCCCGGATATGAACTCGCTGTCGGCCTTTAGCCTTTCTTCCCTTTCCTCGCTTAACTGTAGGAAGAGTTACCAAACTTCAATCGGAGGTTCTTCTCTGTTGAGTTCGTTCTTGTAATCTTCGAAGTTTGGAATTTCATCATACCCTTCTTCGTTGCAAGTGGGACCTTCAGTTGGCGCTCTTGAAAGGGCATCCGCGTTGTCGCAGTATTTTCCCGGCTTATATTAAATCTTGAATCGGTGACCTTGAAGTGCCAATGCCCATCTTGTCAATCTTGGACTCATACATGACTTGTTCGACTCCGATCTTAGAAGATTCGTCAAAGCTTTGTGATCCGTTCTTACTGTGAATTCGGAGTAGTCGATGTACGACTTGAACTTTCTGACGGCGAAGACTACCGCCAGGCATTCCCATTCTGTTACTCCGTAATTCTTTTCTGCTCCATGCAAAACGCGGCTTGCGTATGCGATGGGATGTCCATCTTGGGACAAGATCGCACCTAGCCTTCCTTTAATGCGTCGCACTCGATCACTGTCGGCTTCGTCAGATCGAACTTCTTCAGTACTGGATCCTTGCATAGTGCTTCTTTGAGGTCATTGAATTCTTGGTCATGGACCGCTAACCAATCTCTTTTGATGTTCATGTCGTGTCTTAGCAATTCGTAAAGATGCGCCGTCTTCTGCGCGTATCAAAGGACGAACTTTTGGTAATAGTTCGCTAATCCGAGGAATGACCTCAACTGCCGTTCAGTTGTCGGTTTCTTTTGGCCGTTAACTGCCATGACTTTTTCGGGATCCATTCTAATGCCATTCTCGCTGAGGATGTGCCCCAGGAATCCCATCTCGCGCATGCCGAATTCGCATTTCGTCGGCTTAATTGTGAAACCTGCGTCAACTAGACTTTGAAAGACATTCCTTAAGTTCTGCATAAAGATCTCCCTGGTCTTCCCTGCGAAGATGACATCGTCTATGTAGCCGAAAACGCACCCCATTCGCTTTGCGTTCGGCAAGAATTTATCCATGCAAAGTTGAAAGTTCGCAGGTCCGTTACAGACTCCAAAAGGCATTCTTTTGAAACGGAATATTCCGTCCTGCGTGACGAAGGTCGTCTTGCCTTTCGAGGCAGGATCCATTGGGATCTGCCAGAAGCCACTTTGTAAGTCCATCTTGTCGTAATATTTGTTTCCCGCACATGCGTCAAGCAGTTCATCCGGGTTCGGCAGTGGATAGTTATTCTTTTTCGTAAACTTGTTCAGCAAAATGTAATTGACGCAGAATCTTGTTCCCATAGTTACGTCGCCATTTTTCTTCGCGGCCAATACGACCGGGAAACTCCATTCCGCATCGGATGGTTCAATGACATCTTGCTGCAACATCTCTTCGATGTGTTTTGTGATGAATTCGCGACCTTTCCAGCTTGTTCTTGCCGGGTTGCATTTAACCGGTTTTGCATCGGCTGTGTCAATAGTGTGCGTTACCCCTTTGACATCGCCGTACGGTTGCTTTGATGTGGGGAGAACTTTCCAAAACTCCCAAAATGCATTTCGCACGTCATTCTTTTGTTCTTCAGTTAGGTATGGTGCTAACTTTAGTCTTTCGATGATATCATTCAATTCTTCTTTCGTCTTTGCGTCCACTTCGGGATCTTTTAGTATATTTTTCACGACGGCAGCCGAGTTGACCTTTACGTTCTCAAGGTGTTCGTAATGTTTCACGTAGCCGAGGAACTGGCCCTTTCTTACAGTCTTTCGGCTTTTGCTTCGGTTCTCTATTACGATTTCAAACCGTGTGCCGTTATGGTCCGTGACTCCCGTTCTCGGTCGGACTTCGTTATCCTTTTGAGGAGTTGCTTAATACATCAGCTTCTGATTCCGGGGTACATGAGCTACCATCTTGACCTTTACACGCGTTGCAAGATTTGGTCTTAACTTGACTCGTTGGTCACTGTAAACTATAATTGCTCCTTCTGGGATTCCTGCTCTTTGCACTTTTATCCTTCGAACAATGATCTCTTTCTCTTGTTGTTCGTTCTTTTCATCGTCTTCGTCGAGGTCAAGCAGATCTTCTTGATCTGAAAGGTCACTCACTCCGGAATCTTCAGAAGTGGTTGAGTTATCGCTCGAACTCGAGAATTCCGAGTCGGATTCGCTGCTTTATTAGCCTGAAGCGCTTGATCTTTGCTCCTTTTCTCGAGCGGTCGCTTATCGACGCCTTTGTCTTCACTTTCTGCTGAAAGGTCATCGCTTTTATCCTTGGAAGCGCTAAGTTTTTTCGTTTTCCGTTTTTCGGGCAGAGGTTTGTCCGATTCCTTGGACTTTCGTCCGTTTCGTGCAGTTATCCTTAGATTTGTTCGTGTCGTGCGAATCCTTGCTCGTGACCTATCCCTTTCCCCGTCTTCCGAGCTATCGACTGCTTCAGCAGTATTCCGTGACCTTTCTGCTTTTCCAACTGGTGGCCCTTCCTCACCAGTTTCGGGTGACCTTTCGTCAATTTTAGGAACTGACCTTTCTGGCTCTTTTTCTTTCAGCATCGCGCTTAGTGACCTTTCGTTCTTCTCGGTTGGTGGCCGTTCCTCACAATTGCCGAGTGACCTTTGAAGTGATCCAACCAACGCTGCTGCTTTTTTCTCCTTTTTCTCCTTCGGAGACATTTGAGCCTTTTTTGCCTCTGTTACCGGGATTCCATTTTCCTTATCCCGAATCGCTTGGTTCAGTTCCTTGGTCATCTGAGACAGCTCATACGCCGTGTGTGTAGGTTCTTCTTCTTCGGCGCCTGTGCCGTTTTCTTGAACACCGCTTGTTCTGACTTCTTGTCCTTTTTCTTTAATTTCTTCGGCACTTACGCCGCTTTCTTTTTCAGCGCTTGTGCCGTGACCTTTAGGTCTCTTATCGCCGATAAAGACGCAATTTGCCATCAACTCTTCTGTTGTCCGGTCATTTTCTGGTACCGTTTCATACATGCACCAAGTATCTCCGCCTCTTTCGGGGTACTCTACTCCATCTGGATCTGCTGCAAAGGTCACCTTCTTCTTTCTTGGGTAACCAAATAATCCAAGTTCGCGTCTTTTTAGCGTGACATGTAACTCCGGGATTTCTCCTGTGAATATCGGTACTTCTTCGAGGATTTCGCCCCATTGTTTGTTCCATTCTCGTAAGTTCCCCTTTTTGAGGCAAGCCTGGTAAAGGTCAAATAATTCGTACACTACTGTGCCGAGTCCAATTGGGAAAGTGACCGTTCTTCCTTGACCTTTCCATAGGTAGTTAACTCGGAATTCCCAGAATAAGTCGACTCTAGCTTGTTCCCATATTTCGTTTTCTTCCCTTGCTCGTCGCCTTTCTCTGTCGAGCTTTGCGATGGGGTTTGTGTACCATGGATATTTTTTATCCGCCTTTTCGGGAATGAAGTTATCAGCTTCTTGCTGCCAATGATGGAGCCACTTCCCTCTGGAAACGATGTAATTCTTGACTACAGATAACCATTCTCGGGAACATTGCCAGAGATAAGTTGCTTTTGACAATTCCGGCATGGGAAGTGTTCTCATAATCGACTTAACCTCTTTCTCTTCTTGTCTTTTGTGGCGTGCAATTGCTGCATTGCATTTCGGCCATTCCGAAAGGTCATCTTGCGTCATTTCTTGCATGCATTTTGCACATCTTTCTTGAGGGCGTGCTATCGAAAGGTCATCGCTGTCGTGCCAGTCGTGATGGCAAGAGGTTGCTCTCTCTTCCGCCGTCCATTCTCTTGGCTTACGGGACACGACGCGGTTATTCCCTTCTGGCATCCTTTCCCTTGGTTTGGGGCGGATGATAACGCTTTTATCTTTTTCTCCCGAATCCGTATCTGTCCATTCGTCATCTTTTTCGATTTCAATTACGCTGTTATCTGATGATATTTCGATGACTTCGATTTCATCTGCAGAGCGTGGTTCGGAAGTAATCTGACGGCTATGCTCTGCCACATCTTTTCGAGGATATGCTGAGAACCATGTTCCGCTTTCTTCGTATCCAGTTGCTTCCTGGCCTGGTCTCGTATTTCCGAGAATAGTGCTCTTCCGTCGTTATTCATCAGTCCTGGCTCTTTCCTGGGCCCAACCATTCTCGTGCCCAGTGCCTCTGGTACTGGGATTAGCCTTGACCACTCCATTCCTGGCACTAGCGACTGTTTCTTTGCAATTAGCGCTTCTGCTTGCATTATCTTGATCTGTTTCATCGTTGGCTATCTCTGTTTTCTTTTCAACTTCGGTGACCTTTTGCTTCTTTCAGCATTTTCTAATCCCTGTGCCTCTGGTACTGGGATTAGCCTTCCACCATTCTCATTTTGCTTATTATCCTCCGATCCCTGTGCCTCTGGTACTGGGATAGCCGTTTGCCCCGAATCATTTCTTGGTTGAAGTTCGGTGACATTTCCTGCATTGACTTTTGCAGAGTACTTCGGCTCATCATCTTCAGCTTCAGTTTCTCGTTCTTCCTCGTCATCCTCGTCATCCTCTTATTCGACACTTAACTGGGATCGGCGCAGCGTGCTTGCTCTCTATCAGACCTTTTGAGCTCCATCGACCTATCCGTTTCGGTACGTCGGGTCGCACATCTGAGAACTTTCCAATCCGCTTTGACTTCGGTAAGGCATCCGTCTGCTCCTTCGCAGCGATTTCTTTGCCCGTGACCTTTGCCGCCTCGCACATTAACCCCTTGTCTTGTGCGTTCTCGTGACTTTTCGTAACTTGCGCGACAACTTCGTATTGTGACCTTTCATTGTGTACGTCTTTGGACGGCTTTTCCTGCAACTTTGCCATGATTTCTTGCGTGATCTCATCTGCAAGGGCAATCTCGTCGTCCTCGCTGTTTTTCGATTCGTCTGGTGACCTTTCATACACAACAATCTTATGGTCGTTTTCTTTCATCCATTTCTGTAATCTTTTTCGCAACTTCGTTATTCGTGGGAGTGGGATCGATTTGAGATGACAATCCGTCAGTTCTGGGTGGTGACCTTTCGATGTCATTCCGGATTGCTTCAGTCATGTTATTCGACTTCTCCTTCTGCGGAGTTTGCGCTAAGTCCGGTGACCTAAGCCGGGTTCAGACACTCCAGCCACCGATAACAGGACTGTTCCGCTGCGTCTGCTCCTCCAGTTTTAACGGTATAGTAATTTAAAAAAGTTTCTCTGCGCAGAAAGGCGGCCAAAAATACTTCAGGGCGGATGATTTTCAACACGGACGGAGTGCAAGTAGTATGTTAGCTAGAATAGCAGGGACACTCTGATTGGTCAGACACGCCCCCGCTCTGATTGGTCAGACACGCCCCCGCTCTGATTGGTCAGACACGCCCCTCGCTCTGATTGGCCAGAGCCGAGCCGAACGGTCTGAACAAGGTCGAGACTGAACCGAGACCGACCGAACCGAACCGGGCCGAGACCGACCGAGTCTTACTTTTCCCTTTCTTTTGTTTATTTTTCCCCACCCTCGTTTATTTTGTTTTCACCGAATAACAACGAACAAAGTAAAACAAATCATACCGCAAGAACATACGCAGGAGTAGCAGTACAATCTTTGACAAAAATACAATTTCGGTTATATTTCTAATGGTCATTGTATGGATCTCCCGGTGTCCAGTTGCTCATTGTAAACCGACAGAAATGACATTTAACTGTATCATCAGATCCGGTGTAGTACAGTCCTGTCCTCGCCATGGCGCCGGCAGAAGGCAGGAGGTGTGGCCAGTTTTCAAAAGTGCTGAGCGGTCCGTTGGGCCGTGCAGTGTGGAAACGTACTTGTACAGATCTTCGGCTAAGGCATATACTTGCTCCTGCCCGTCCCACATGCCCACCGTTTCGTCAGGTATACCTGAGAATCCGGACCAGGCTCCTGCAATGGCACAAGCCATGGTCCCAATGGCATCAGTGCATCCTCCGGTTAACATTGCCGCATGAAGGGTGGCTTCAAAGGGGCAATCGCTGCGGCGACCAATAGCAGCACAGTAAATGGCAACTGGAACTACGTCCAAAGGGCTGGTGCCGACGCCAGTGGCTTTGAACAATTTTTCCTTTGTTTCATCGCGTTGCGCGTAGTCCAGCACCATCATGACACGTGTATAAAATTTCCGACGCACATAATCGGGGAGAGATTTATTGCTGTAGTCAACAAGAGCGGAGAGAAACTCAAGCTCCTTCATCATTTTATTCTTTAGAACCAGATTGATGGCGTAGGCCTGCAACTGTGCTCCAGCGGCGGCGTCATGAGAAGAGTGGGTGAGTCGGGCTACACGGTCTACAGAGAAATTCATCTGCTCCGTACGATTGTAAAAGTACAAGGGAAACGCTGTTCTCCAAGTGGCAGCGTTACACTCTGTGCCCCGGTTACGGACTGTTGTAGCAGCAGCGGTCCATTCTTTTTGGGGAGAATGTTTCTAACTGGCAATAATGGTGGTCAGTTCACCAAAAGCTCGGCGTCTAGTGTAGTTGTGGTAAAATGTTTGGCTACATTGCCGTGCGGCATTCTCCAAAGAAAAGAAGCCGGTATCCAGTAGAGACTTGGCGTAAGCGTGCGTTAATAAGAATTTCTCCCAGTAAGTCGAGACCCTGCTCCGCACTCCCGCCAAGTTCATGTGGCAGGAGGTAGCGCGTCTCAGGGGTGTTCCGATGCATTCTCCGATCAGAGCGCCTAATAAACAACCTTTGTACTGATCCATGGCGTTCAGAATTGCGAATGAATTCCTATTCCGGACAGCTAAGATAGACCACGTCGTTTTCAGAAATCAAACTGGCGCTGACCCACATTCTCTCTCATTTTTCAATAGCTAATCCAAACTGGCGCTGACCTAGATTCTTTGTTCCTTAGCTAATCCAAACTGGCGCTGACCTAGATTCTTTGTTCCTTAGCTAATCCAAACTGGCGCTGACCTAGATTCTTTGTTCCTTAGCTAATCCAAACTGGCGCTGATCTAGATTCTTTGTTCCTTAGCTAATCCAAACTGGCGCTGACCCACATTCTGTCTCGTTCTCTCTCGTTTGACAATGGCTAGTCCACACTGGCGATGACCCACATTCTGTCTTATTCTCTCTGATTTGACAATGGCTAATCCACACTGGCGATGACCACGTTTTCTTCAGTTATTACGAATTCTCCACAAGATAGTTGCTGTCGACAGTTAGTGTTTCGGTACTGCGCTTTCAGAATGGATTTTGACCTTTCGGAATTAACTTTTACTCCAGCGCAACGGGAATACTCTTCTGGATCTTTTCGTTTAAAGTTTCAAGATTCTGGAAAAATTCAAATCATCCGCTTTCGTTGTTACGAAAAGTCTTTGTCACTTTCGATCGCGGAATTTTTGCAGATTTTCAGATTTGTGCGTGATGATTCGTACAACATACCTGTTTCTGTTGACGGCGATCGTTGTCACAACAAATCCTCGATCAGGAAGGATTTCGGCAGTGGCTTATTGGCGAAACGCATAACTGTTACCGGGGTGATTGTCATTCAAATCGACCGTTTTACAAGTACCGATGCGAATTCTGATAGTCGCGCGAGAATTCCCAAGAAAGGAACTACTTTATTGAGGGATCTAACGTAGGATGATTTACGTCGTTCACTGGCATCCATTCAGAACTTAATTTTCATCCGTTACCCTTGAAATTCCATCACGAATGCGCCTCGGCCATTGTTTCGCTTGCCAACGACCAAACGAATGGTGACGTGCGGAAAATTGCACAGGACGAGTCTTTGCTTTACCGCTTAGAAACGAAGTACATCGATACACTGTCCAAATACAGCTCCTATGACTTCACTGGCGCTCCATCGCCAGTCGAGTTCTTTTGCCAGTGGAATTTCAATATCGTAAGTCTTCAAGCGTAACTACATTTCAAAAAAAACATTTAGTTTGGTGTCAACCGGTCTACTGTTCACATCAAAATGGCTTCAGTATGCGCTTTGAAAGTTTTGGGGGTGCATGAAGATTTTACCATCTAGAAAATCAACGCTGTAGTTAGTATGTTTTGGAACCCCAAGGACGTTTGCTTCTTTTTAGTGTTCGATGCCAAACCGGACGGTTCTGGGCTGAAGAAGGCCATGGACAAAGGAGTTCGTCTGGCATATGCCGATATCAACTGTTTGTTGGGCATGATTCGAAACGGCACGCTGCAGGACTGTATGGACCGGTCCATTGTTGATAAAAGCGCTGAGAAGTTCTCACTTCCGGGTCAGGGCTGTGTGGACGTTACTGTCAGCATCCACCCGAAATATGGACGCATGATTCGTTTCTCTCAACCCCGACGCACCGTTCAACTACCATATCAGGGATTCATCATTCTCATGGAGGAAATCTACATCCAGCACTGGGGACGGGATATTGTTGTCTGACTGGATGCTTCAGTTTTTATTAGCACATCTTACTTAGCATTTACTCTGTTCTGTTTGTTGTGTCAAAAAAAAAGGCTTAGAAGGCATTATTTGTGACAGTCTTAACTTGAAAGGCATATAAAGGTTCCAAGTTGACACTGTCGCAATTATTGCTCGTAGCCTTGGATATCCGTAACGTCATTCTTTCCGTCCAACTCGACAAAGCGATTCGTTTGGAGAAAGTTTGGAAGTCATTTCCACTTAATACAAAGTCCGTTAAAGGATTTAATGCTGTCACTTTAAGTTTACAAAACAAAACGTTCTGTCAATTATTCCCTAATGGTAAGGCTATAATAAACGGTGCTAAAAGTATTACAGGATCGTATTCAATTTTAAAATGTTATCAAATGATGCTTTATACTCAAGGCATAGAGTTAAACATTAAGGATAGCAGTGTCGCAAATACCGTTTGCACGTACAAACATACACACAACGTTAACTTGGTAAAGCTTTACGAGAAAGCGAAAAACTTCTCCGTGCAACGTCTACTAGAACCAGAGCTGTTTCCAGCATTAAAATTAAGGCTTTCGTACGCCACCATTCATATTTTCCATACCGGTAGCTGTGTAGTCCTTGGTTGTACTTCTTCGAAACAAACTCAAGAAGGTTTGAATTTATAATGAAACTCCTAGATTCTGCAACTGAAAACTCCAAAATCTGAATCGATAACGGAATTTTTCAAAGTCAAAATCAGGAGTTTTTTGAGAAAAATTTCTCATAGGTAAAGCATACAAATAGCGCTTAGAAAACATAATTTTTTAAAATGGAAAAGGTGACTTTTGATTTCAGATTTAAAACTCCTTGTTCACTTTATATTTCTGGTCCAACTATGTCCGGAAAATCGACATTTACAGTGCAACTTTTACGGAGTATTCCCGATAATTTCACACCCGCGCCCATACGTATAGTATATGCGTACGGTACATGGCAAGAGACATGCAGTAATTTTGATAAGTCCATCGAGCTGCTGCCTGGAATGGATAAAATCTTGGAAGATGAAAATTTTTTTGATAGAAATACGCCTACGCTACTTATTCTTGATGATCTCATGGAAGAAATATCAAAAAACGCAACGTGTTCGACAATATGTACTAGAGATGTGCATCATAAAAATGTTTCCGTTATCTTTATATCGCAAAATTTATACAAACAAGGTAAAAGCATAAGAGATATCTCTCTTAACTCCCAATATTTAATTTCATTTAAATCTGTACGTGATGTACAACAGATTAAACTACTTTCTCGCCAGCTAGGTATGCCGCATTTGTGTGATGCATACAAAAAAGCTATAAAGGAACCTTTTGGTTATTTGGTAATAAATCTCCGTCATGATACACCTGACAAGCTAAGGCTACAGTCAAACATATTCGACTACTGGAAAATATACGTGGAAAAATGAATCCAGAAGACGTTCTCAGTATACTACGCGCTTTGGAAATTATGAATCCACGACTGCGTAGATATGTTTTACAGGTTGCTTCTAAAAAACAAATTTTAGCAATTGAAGAAGCTTGTTTAAATTTGGTGAAGCAACCAACGGCTTTGAGTAAAGTTGATTTAGCCAGAGCACAACGTTTTGCACCGATAATTAAGCGTTTAGCCGACAGAAAACTTTCACACGTTAAAAAGCGAACAATTTTAGCGCAAAAAGGAGGATTCTTAGCTGCTCTCCTTCCAATTCTAGGAACACTAGTTGCATCATTTATAACAAAATGAAGACCTACGTTCTTGTACCTTAGTCCGAATTTTCTGCACCCGGCAAGACCAAAGCCACATCATGGAAAAAAGCTGAAGAAATTCGTAGTGCCATGACTCATGATTTGCTGGCTCGGGCCGCGTACCAGACTAAGTCTGCAGACTATGAACCACGCGTTAAGGAATCTGAAGTTAACGAACACAAACCAAACGTAACTTCGCAAAGGAACTATGGTACTCAAGCTGCGCATCTTCTTACTGATGGATCAACACAAGCGACCGAACCTCCGGTTATTCAGTATCTACCAAGTGAGCCGGTATTTATCCAAAGTGAGCCCACAATACAATATATTGAACGCGAACCTATTGTGCAGTATATCGAGCGCGATCTCGTTGTGCAGTATATCGAACGTGAACCAGTTGTACAATACGTACGAAACCAATTACACTGAAGAAATTTTTAAAATTGTACAAGTTAAAAAACGACAGAATCATTACATCTACGCTTTAGGGGACCTAGGAGGTGAGAAAATTGATGGAGATCTTTATGCCAGCGAACTGTCAAAATTTATTATGACCGAGCGACCGTTTCACCGTATATTAAGGGAGAGAATGTACAAGGGAAAACAGCAATACCTTATACGTTGGTACGGTTACGGTCCCGCTTACGACTCTTGGGAAAACAAAGAAGATCTAAAATGAGTTTCTATATGACACTACTGTCTTCCGCAACTCACAGTATTTATCCCGCAAATCGTTGTGGGAAATTTACAACTTTGCTAGCCAAAGGTATTGATCTTGATGGAAACTGGGAAGTCGGTCTTTCCGAAATTATTTTACCACCGATGCGTCTCAGGTTTACTGTGGGTTTGGCAGTGCTAGTTAAAACCACGACTACGCTGAGACAAAGTCGGTATTTAAATAAAGAGTCATACAATGACGAGAATCAACTAATTCGGAAAATAAACCTTCTACTGCGTTACAAAGACACCATCTTTGGACATATTGACGTGACTGGTAGCTCCGCACAGCAGGTGGTAAATCCTGATGCCGAGCTCACGTTTCAGGGATCAGAGTATGCGAGGGCGCTGGGTTTATTGCAAAAGCACTTTTTCGCCGGTGCCGGTGGTCAAACGTACCACTTACGACCGGGCAAACAGAGTCGTGTTGTGCATGTTTATTGCGACATTACTG